TTTTATTACTTATAAGGTGTATTTTATTCAAAGTTTTATGGATAGATCTGAGTTCTTTTTAAAAGCTGTATATTGAACATAATGGATTGTGTAGCAGGGGAACTTTTTTGTTCCTTGTAGGTATTGATGGACTGATTCTTTATGATATTGTTAAATCTTCCTGAAATATTTCACTGTTATTTGAGTCTCTCTGTATACAGTAATCAAAGCCTGGTGATGAAATGTTATGACTTACATCCACCAAAACCTTGGAAATTTAGCACTTAGGCCCTAGGAGGGCTCTCTGGATTTTCTCCCCTCATGCATTTGACACAGAATAATGTGCGATATGGCCACAATACTCAGCAAAGTGACATGCTATAGAAAGTGGGTCCTTAATTATAACATTTAAAATTTTTCCAGGAGTTTAAAATACTCCTAAGTATATGATTAAATAGTTACTTAGTTCACTTGAAAAATGAAATCCTTTTTGGCAGCCTATTATAAAGTCTTCAGGTTTTATATTTTTTAAATGAGTACTATGAGTCCTATATTTGTAGAATGTAAACTGCGTGAGTATTTAAATTGGTATTTTTCTGTTTTCTATAAAAATTAAATCAAATAAAAAATTCTATTTAGATATTCTTGAAGTTGTTGGGGGCCCCTGGGAGTATTGAAATCCCATTCAATTTCATACCACATGAGTAAAATAATAGTGAAAAATAATTAAAATTTGAATTTTAACAGAAATAAGTTATTAGAGGTTCAGAATCAGACTCAGCTATGTGTATGTTTGTATTTATGCACTTGCATATGGACAATGCCAATTTTTCAGCTCAAAGAAGAAAAGATAGGTTCATAAATGATGGAAATATTGATAATTTATAAAAATATTTTTCTAGTCCTGGCTCATACTATATTCCAAATGATATTTCAGAAGAGAGTAATAGTTTAGTTGTAAAAGAGAAATGATGTATATGAATCTTCAGGTATTTCTAAACTGTTCTAAATGGTACTATTTTTTTTTAAAGATTTATTTATTTGTGCATACAGAGCTGGGGTACAGGCCAGAGGGTCAGGGATGGTGAGAGGCTTCACCAGAGACAGAATGGGGAGCAGAACAGGCAGATCGACGAAGTACACTGCTGAGGGGAGCAGCGGGCGGGTCAGGAGAGGTCTGCCGTGCCATGTGGTCACCTCCGAGGCAGGCGGGAATCGAATTGATGTGGAAGTGGTTTTAGCTTCTCAGTGCTGTGCTTTAACCTGCTGTGCCACCAGGGAGGGCCCTAAATGATACTATTTTTAAGAAATCATTGATAACTCTGTATAGCAAAAACCAAACTCATTAGTAAACAAAGAGAAAAGCTAAGTATGAAGCTAGCAAGTTGTAACATAACGTGACTTGCTTTTAGAATCAAGATAAAAAGTTCTTCACCTATCTATAGCTATTCAAGAAGTCTTGTGCCTACCTCTTGAGGCATCCCCTTTCCTACTCACCCTGTTTCCTGGTGAAGACTCCCAAAGGTATTGCTGGTCTAGAAACAATAGCATTGTGGTCTCAGGGAAGTTTGTGAAAAGTTCTAGACCAGCAAGTCTCACTTCTGATCAAATATTCACGGGGCTGCAAAAGATCAAGCCTCACCAGTAATGCTATGTGGCAACAAAACAGCAGCAATAGTGGGATTAAGAGGTTTCAGTTCTCTGGTTATTTATGAAAAAGGAACAGCAATACCTTTGGGAGTCTTCACCAGGAAACAGAATCAGTACACACAGTGGGTGTTTCAGGGTATTAAGATATGGAGGAGCAACCAACATCATTCATTCATGCAGTGAACAAATATTTACAGAACACCCACTGTGTGTCCCAGATATTATTCTCTGTAGTAATAGTATCTGGCAAGAATAAAAAGTTCCTGCCATAATGGAACTTACATTTATTCTGTAGGTTAAGGGGAGGGAAAAGGGTGGTGTCAGAGACTGATGAATAGACATGAGAAACTATTTATTCTATGAAGCATCTGTAGAAGGGCCTGTGTATAAAATCCTTATCTCTTAAAATGACTTTATAATTATTCTGTGGGGGGGGTCCTCAATATGAATGATACCATATGTGTATAATAGGAGAGGTTGAGTATTTGATGTATACTTGTCTCTCTAGCTTGCATAGGCACTTGTAGTGGTTCTGTATATAATAATACATCATACAGCAATTTTAAAAAATGGCACAGATGTGTGCTTATGACCACAGATGATAACAATAAGTGGAAATGCAGGTTAGGGAGTGATTCATATAGTATGATCACATTATTGTTGGAACTTCTTTACCTCTAAGGTTTCTTTGCTGTGACTGGAGTTTAATTAAATGTCATCTGAGTCTGCATATGGTTCTTTATTCATTCAGTCCCTTTGTAATACGGCGTTTGATTGGTAAACTTGAAAGTACTTGACCCAGCTAATAGACATCAACCATGTAGAAACAAACTCGTCTTTTCACAGCTACTGACTGATTTATCACCATCTTCTCCATGGAATAAGTTGTAAGGAGCTTATTTCTGCAGTTAGACTAGTGCTAAGGCAGTCCACCTCTGGAATTCACTGTTAGTGAGTTCATTTTTCAGTATACCTAGAGCCTTAATTAATAATAACCCATGTTTTGTTTTATTCCTCAACTTGTTTATAACTTCTGGAGGGGAAGAGTTACCAGTTTCGAGGTGTTTTTGGATAGCTTCTACCTTTTTTTTTTTTTAAATTCATATATACACATATTTTTTACAGTATATCTTTTTATTTTCCTTGTACATATATAGGGAAAAGTCGAGAAATATACATCATAGTTTAATAGGTTGTCAGATGTAGTTTTTTTTCATTTGTACTTTTTAGTTCACTGAATTTACTAGAAATGTTATTAAGAAGTAGTTAAGCATTTTAGACCTCTAAAAGCAATGTAGCTTAGTTTCACTTTCTTTTTAGAGAATTAACCATCTTTGTACAAGGAAAAAAGCTAGGCTTGATGTTTCTATTTATGTGGTTCTTAAATCTAGAATGTTGAATAGGAAATTTAAAATCTCTGGTTTGTTATTTTACCATGTCAAAATAATTGTTTTCTACCCATAAATAGTATTGGGTATAGGTAATTCCTATTATTCTTCCTGCTTATCAGCGATAAACTTATTTGTATAAGCACTCAGATTTGACTGAAATTATAGAATTTACTTATTAAAAGGGGGAAATGATAAAAGAAAATTGTAAAGTGGTAATTTTTGTATCCATACCTCTCTGTCATAGCAGTGTCTCTAGACATTGAAATTTTGTAAAACTAATAGAACCTCATAATTTGTTCATACTCTGATCATGATTTTTTTTTAAGTTTTTTTTTTTTTAATGGCTGGGGTGGGGGGTGCACTAGACTTTGATGGGAACCCTATGGGGATTACAACTGAGATGGAAAAAGGTACAAAATGATGTAAAAATAAACTATCATTTTAAAAAAGTTTGTTTTTTTTTTTTAATTTTTTTATTGGTCATGAAGTCAGAGCCCTAAAAGATACTAAAAATAAAGAAAAAAAATTCTGGATAACCAGCATACAATTTAATGACCAAAATTGTTTGATGTTTGTTACTCTCATGTATAGGTTATATTTTTACTACATATATTGATGTTTGTTACTCTCATGTATAGGTTATATTTTTACTACATATATATGTATTCCTAAAGAGTAGAATGTACTTTTGAATGTTTTAAAGCTCTATTTAAAACATTCGTATGTTGCATGACCTAAGAATGCACTATCCTACTTTTGAAAATTGTTTGCTAGTTCCTAAAAATATTAAACGTGGAGTTACAATACCACTCTGCAGTTCTAGTAACTGTATAACCAAGGAGATATGTAAACATATCTCCATGCAACTCATATACACAACTGTTGATAGCACCATTGCATATTTTCAAGCTAAACATTTCAAACAAATTATCCCAAATGTTCATCAAGTAATAAAGTACATGTTTGTCTACAATAAAAATAAATGAAGCCTTTATAAATGCTACAATTTGAATGAATCCTGAAAACATAATAAAAAAAGACAGTCACAAAAGACATACACTATATGATTCTATTAATATAAAAAGTCCAGAACAGGCAAATTTATGGAGGTAAAAAATAGAGGTAATGGTTGGCCAAGACTGGAAGTAAGTGGAGAGAATTGGCAGTGATGCTAATGAGTATGGATATCTTTTGGGGGGGGGGTGATGAAGACATTCCAGAATTAGATAGTGATAGCTGCACAATTATGTAACTAGCTAAAAATATTTAATTGCACTTTAAATGGGTGAATCTTACTGGTATGTGAATTATATCTCAATAAAACTGTTTAGAAAGCACACATGAATTGAATATTGTATATTTTGTTATTAGCTTTTTAAATTCAGCATAAACCAAAAAATTTTAAGATTATATATTTTCTGTACAGTTCTGTATAATTTTCACATCCCATCTTTTGTTTTCTTAATTTTTTTTTTTTTGGCTCTTAAAATCAGTGATTCAGTGAATAGTTTAACCATACTTTGTGATGCATTTTAAAGATTTCCACTGCAGATTTGGATAAGGTTATTGATAATTTGTAAATTTATTTGGTACTCATTTTTGAAGGTATGTTGTTGTACCTCAGAACATTTCCTTAATTCTGTAATTTAAAACTGAAGGAATAAAAGTATTCTCCGAGACATTTTACAGGCATGGAGTGGGGAATGGGATCAAAAATTGGGGAGGGGAGAGTACACTGGACTGTGGTGATGGCACATGGGTGATTTGGTGATGGGAACCCCATGGGGATTATAACTGAGATGGAAAAAGGCACAAAATGATGTAAAAATAAACTATTATGTTATTTTTTAAAATATATCTCTGAATTTTATTGCAGTTATTTATTTTTGGCAGGTGAAAGGTAGGAGTTCTCTGTTGTACCTTCTTGGTATTTTAATGTTAAGACTTGTCTTCATTTTTGTGTTTGTCAATATCTTGCAGAAAAAGCCACAAATGAGTACAACACGACAGAAGATTGGAGCCTAATTATGGATATATGTGACAAAGTTGGAAGCACTCCTAATGGGTAAGATGCCTTATCATGAATTGTGACTATCTGGGAGTTTAAGTACCTGTCTCTTTTTTTCCTGATGTGACTTTGAAGGAAGTGCAATTTTAATATTTACTTTCAAAGGATCAAAGTAAAGGAATCCTGATAACTGGGTTTATGGGATTAACCTTGTCCTTCAAAGAACAATTGGAAAAGAGTTAAGTTGAAAACTTGAGATGTATTAAAATGCATAATTAAAGCATTGACATAACAGGGGCATATGTTAACAGTGGATAGAGAGTGAATTTCCCTGTGACTTAGACATGTACAAGAGTCTTTTAAAATGAAGTATATAATCTACTGGAAAGCCCTTTAATCCTGAATAAGTAACATCATGATAAAAAAAAGTGAATATGAAAGTTACACAGAAGTAATTATAGTTTAGAAATTAGAGTGATGAAATGTTTTAACATTACATCTTTTGGAAGTGCATTCACATACTGAAGATTTCACATACTGAAACCTTGTAAGATAATATCTTACTAAGTTTTATTTTGTGTAGATAAGAACTTACTATCTGAAAGTTAAGCCTGTCTTGAAGAAATTAAAATATTATTTATAGAAGAAAAAAAGAAGGAAAAATGCTATTTATATATTTAGTTTTGTGTTAACTGACTTCAGGACTTGACTTTTAATTTTGGAACATGTAAACTTTTGCAACATGCTGTTTAATTTTATTGTTTAAGTTCTTTGAGTCTGAGCAAAAGATTGTATGGAAGAATTTTATACAATTTACTTCTTAAACCAAGTGCAGTTTTCAAGTTTTACTTTTAAATTTAAAGTCACTTGGTAGTGGGGTACCTTATTTTTGTAATGATTATTAATCAGGTTTACTCTGGACAATTATTTAACTGTCTTCATTTTCTCCTTAGAGCTAAAGATTGCCTAAAAGCCATAATGAAAAGGGTAAATCATAAGGTTCCTCACGTTGCCCTGCAGGCATTAACTGTAAGTAAAAGTCATGTTAGTATTTGACCCCAATTTTTTTTCTTTTTTTGGTAGCAATAGGTGTTTCTAATGACTAACGACTAAATTAACAGATACAAAAGCAAGGTGCTGTCTCACTAGTTGATACAACAAAGATGTATCTTACCAAGGTACCCAAGTCCTACTTGTATACAGATAACTTGTGTGGATGTAGTTTATTTACTTACTGTTCACTGAGTATTGAAATACAATTTTGTATCAGTGAAAAAATTGATGCAAAACATCACCCCAGTTTTTATCTAAATTTTACTAATTTAACATTGGTAAAAATGGCACATACACAATCTGTACTAATGTTGATACTGTCTTCTCACTTTCCCTGTAACTTTTGTTTTAAACTTTTGATGTTAAAGTGTAACCCTTACTGTGTTGAAAGTGTACAACCTAACAGAGAATCTCATAGTTTTGACCCCAATTTAAAATGTGTATTACAGTAAATTAATGCCTCAACACATATATTAATTTTTATTTTAATTCGTAGCTTCTTGGAGCTTGTGTGGCAAACTGTGGAAAGATATTTCATTTAGAAGTGTGCTCCCGTGACTTTGCAACAGAAGTACGTGCTGTGATAAAAAATAAGGTAAATTTTGGCCCTCCCTGGTGGCGCAGCGGGTTAAA